AAGTGGTTTGTTATAGAAGACTGCGTAGTATGTAAAACTGTTTTAGCTCTGTGTATTAGTTAACTGTTCCGCGTTACAATGTCGAGTGATAGGGGGTGAAGTAGGGTGGTAGTGGGGGTTGAATCCTGTACAAAAATCAATACTGGGTTTAGCGTGGGACGCCGTGTTCTCTCTGACTGTAGAAGTGAAGGGGAGGGGGGGAAAGAGAGGGGGACAACCACTGAATTGCCGCAGCCAGTCGCGATATTTTAGTGGATTTAATCTTTCGCGGCCTCGTAACGAAATATATGTAAGAGTAAAATTTACGGAACTGAAGTTACTTAACGTATTGCACACACAATTCGTCCATTGAAATGTGTACAGCAGTTGCGAATACGAAATATTTCTGAAAAGCATGCATATAAAATATGAAAAAAAATACGTTTGTAGTTAGAAGTTCTATAAAAAAATGTCCCTGTTATAATAAACCCGTACATGTGTTCCTGTTCTATTTCCAGATAAGATGGGAGAAGAATATAACATTAGGGGAACCCCCGGGGTTTCTGCACTCATGGTGGTGGTAAGTTTAAATTGTTGTGTAATAATGAGACCACAATGTTTGGTTTTGAAACTAAACAATGCTCTAGATGTATGTTTGGTAGTAAATAGTGATTCTTGGTTTTAGTTTTATGCTTTCAAATAAATGTTTGTTCAGGGGTGAACTCAAAACTTGGGCACTTTGTTGGCAGGGATCGTAAACAATTGGTCAATTCGAAAAGGAGTAAAGTTACGTAATGAACATTAATGGGAAGTGACTAAAACATGCTTGTTCAAGGTTCTTTGGAACTACTGACATTAAACAAAAAAGCAGCTTGTCATTTTGGCCTACATAAATAAATTTCACGTAGTATGGGCTTTAATTTGAAGTGGGTCTGACTAAATTTGTGCAGTAGGCACAACATTTTTTTTATTTATTTATGTTGGAAGATAAGTGTAACGGAAGACCTAGATTTTTTTATTTTCCTACAATTTCATATTTTAGCATTATTTAATGCCTGCAAGGACATTTACGTGATTTGATCCTGGGTTTGGATTTTACTGCTGCATGTAATTAATTAGTGCGTAAGGTTAAGTAAGAAAAGATTGAATATAATTTTTATCATGTTCCGGTTTTGCTATGTGTATATTAACATCCAGGTCCATAATTAAGCGCCATTATAAAAATAAATTATATTTGAAGAACCTTCTAAAAATCACTTAGATTTAAAATGATGCTTTTCTCATTGGGGCTAATAAATCATACGTATAAGAAGTGTTTCTGTGTAGATGTCGTGAATTAAATTCAGTAAATTCAGTGCAGACGTGTTTTTTGAGGTTATGTGTAATGAATGTTTAAAGATGAGCGTTGGCTTCATAGGGTTGGATTTAATGTTATTACAAACGTGACAATAGTTTTTACTCTCAGGTTCTGCAATAGACCTACGAATGAAAAATACACTTCTTAATGGAAATGTAGTTACGATAAAAATAATAATATTCAGTAATATGATTTCTAACTGCACCACACGTGTCCCTTTGGAAATAAATATGTTTGCATCTGTTCCTCCTTTGTCACTCATTCGCCCCAATACATCGCAATGAAGAAAAAGTTTTTTTTTAAAATAATCTCATATCCGTCCATTCTGAAGTTGGTTTCGTAGAGATTCACACGCTTTGTAATATAGATCTGTGTCCGAACATATGTCATTCAAAAGTACCGAACCCCAATTATCCTTAATTTAATACGCCACCACGTCTGGTCAGCCAAGCAGCTGGAATCCTGACCAATTTTTCTTGTTCATCATAACTCTTACCCCACTTTGGTGTTTCGGAATCTTGTCATGTGGTGACGCAATATTCTGGGCACCGTAGAAACCGTTGCTCTTAACTGCGCCTGCGCGTGATTCGGATTTCCGCCTTCAGGCGAAGTCTCCCGTCAGCTCAGATTCTTGATATCCTGAGTTTTATTGTAGAACAGTGTGTGCAACGTAACTGACCGCGTTTTATCAGGATTGCAACTTTCGAAGAAAGTGCAGTGACACGACTCGAGGAGTCAGTTCAGTGAATCGAAAACCCAAATACCGTCATCCGCTTTACGAGTTTACGCATTGCCGATGCTCGTTTGTCTCGAATTCTGGATTCTCATTATCTCGTATCAGAGACTTGTTACGACCGATTCATTCACCTTCACGGTCGAGTCCTGACGCCACGGTCTCGCTGTTTTCCTCCCACACTCTAGATGATCGCCTCCTAACGCTACCTTACCACTACTCCTGAAAATCACCCCAATTTTAATGCATGTGACTCTCTCGTTCCCCCCCCTCCGAACCCCTAAAGGCAGGGGTGGCCAACCCGCGGCCCGCCTTGAACATTTTTCCGGCCCGCGAGATTCATCACACTTTTACAAAATATATTTATTTTATCATTATTATTATATTATCTATGTTTACATGTAAGAATAATAGTAAACACAATAATAATAACTCATTATGTTTCAATTTTTCACTCCAAAAAAATGTCTATAGTGTATCTAAATCTAATATGGGGATATATAATTTTATATGTGGCCCGCGGAGTTATGATGCATTTCCAAAGTGGCCCGAAAGATCATTTGGGTTGGCCACCCCTGCCTAAAGGGAACAGCCATGAGTAAGAGTCCCTTGCACCGTTCTACGAGCGTCACTTGTCATTTTTAAGACGCAACATAGACCGCGTCTCCGTACTGAAAATATTGCTTAATAATTTATGCTGTTTATTAAATAATATTACGGCTATAAGTCAAGGAATATTATCAGATGGGCGGGGGAATGTGGTATGCATCGGGCAGGTTATTGTTAAAACGTAAAAGAGACCATTGGCCGGAGGAAAAGTAGTGTTTGGGGGTGTGGATTGGATTAATTTGGCGGAGGACAGGGACCGGTGTCGGGCTGTTGTGTTGCAACACTGTGCGATTTAGCTTTGACCTTCAAGCATGCTGTTTGGTGACGACTGCTATAGGGTACACGCATTTAATATCCCGTAACCGATTCGCAAACTCGCTTTTCGAGACGTAATTACGTAACCTTGATTGTTTCAAAATCGTATCTGATGACATTTTACAGTGTTTTACTTTATGTTGAAAAGAAAAAAAATTGAACGTATGTGACAATCGTGTTGTATGTTCTTTTGTGTGTGGACTGACCTGATTTTAATGAATCGATTTTTCCGACCTGTTGTGGCGAGAGGTAGCCAAGATTCTGAATAGGTATGTAATTTGAAGCATACCAGTAGTGTACCTGACGAGAATCGGAGAACGTGAATTAAAATGCTCAACGTCACGACAGAGTGGTTAGCATTCCAGTTTTGAATGTCGGCTTAGTGACTGGCTGTCCCAGTCGTTTCCCCACGTAAATACTTTCTAAGATGGCTGTCTTCTGGATTGTTTCGCCGTGTAGTCTGGTAGAAGTTTATCAACGTTTCAGAGGTCCTTGCTGCCTCCATCATAAGAACGCCCTGACGATGGAAGCAGCATGGACCTCTGAAACTTTGGTAAACTTCTACAAGGCTCTACACACTTTCCAGTTAATTTCTTGTTATCATACAATCGATCATTCGACGCCACGTAACGTCAGCTACTGACAGCATCGTTAAATAAACTAGTGAATTGAGAAAAGAATTCTTACACATCTCACAACAAATATTTTAGAAGAAATGTTCACTAGCGTTTTAAATAATATAATAGTAACCTGTAATATTACAACCTCCATACCAGATTTCATGAAGATCGATCAGCCTTTATCGATTCATATCGCAGACATGTTGCTAGGACTACCGATAGATGGCAGCACGTTCTCGGCTGAGGGGCGTGTTCTTCGTTTAGGGTAGACGTAAAGAAACCTACAAATGAAAATATTAAGTTGTGAAATGTTTACATACTTTCTTGTTTGATTGAGGTGTTAACGACATTTATTTCTGAATAGAATCGGGGTCCAGGGTTCTCATTTTGTGCCCCGCTCATGTGTTTTCTCGGGGGCACACATAGTCTACATTTTTATACTCTTTAATCACCTATTATGACGAACAAAATTACCACGTAATTGAGTGGTTGTTTGCCTAAAATTTCTAATAAACTTTGTGAAATCTCAATAAATTGTCCATGGCGGTCTCGTTATTCGTTAAGAACGCGAGCGATCCTAGGTCGAAAGCATTAGGGAGGCAATCTGCCTTCCTGTGTGTGGACTGTATTTAAATAAAGCTGTAAATCTCCCTCAGAATGTTTTTAAACAGAACTGGTGGGGGAAATGGCGTATAAATGTGGTAATATTCCGCACTTGGTCGGTAATAGTCTTAAATTTTGTATCTGTATAATAGACGATCCTGAGTGTGTGGGTAAATAATTATAGAAGCCCCCGCTCTGTCTCGCTTTACGTCCTACCGAGTCTCAGTGTGAGAAACAATGGTCTGGTGCACGAAACGCGAACTTTTACTGCTGTGTCTGGCCGCACCGGTATTAAAAGTACAGCCCAGACGGCGTCACTCTCGAATCTAGCACATTTGGCGCACTTTGGCTTTAAGAGAAGAGATATTTTACGTGTGGGGTAAATGTTCTCTCTCTCTCTCTCTCTCTCTTGTTCGTCATACTGGAAAGAATCTATTTCCAACCGGCTGTCTGTCTGGCCCTAGGAAACACGTCGCCGATTCTGCACTAGCCGTCTCCACCCTCTACCCCTCGTTATCACGCGGCCCTGTCAACAACTAACTAGATGGCTTACCGAACGCGAAGGTTCATCTCCGAATTAACCAAAGCCCTCCACCGGCCCCTGTCCTGGACCAACAAAATCCAGTCTCCTTCAACTCCTATCTCCCATAGATCCCGCCTGACATTATCCTCCCATCTACGTCTAGATCTCCCCAGCGGTCTCTTCCCCTCAGGCTTCCCAAATAGTGGCCCCAACCAACTAGATGGCTTACCGAACCCGAAGGTTCATCCCCGAACTAACCAAAGCCCTCCACCGGACCCTGTCCTGGACCAACAAAATCCAGTCTCCTTCAACTCCTATCTCCCATAGATCCCGCCTGACATTATCCTCCCATCTACGTCTAGGTCTCCCCAGCGGTCTCTTTCCCACAGGCTTCCCAACCAATACCCGGTGCACCAATTTTTGGGACGTCTATGGCAGTACGTTCGCCGGTAAGAGCAAAGTCGTTGACCGGGTTGAGTCAAGACATCGTCTAACCACGCAGAACTTTGGGCAAAACTATTTTCTGACAGAAAATAAAGAAACGTTCGAACATCCATGGCATTGCTTGTGCGTAAATTTTTGTAGCTGGAGTTACGTGTTTAACATCGGCTTTAGTGGATGAGCCGCGTGGAATGTTGAAAATTATACAACTTTTCGTCAAATATTGCAGTTGCTATCTTCAGGGTTAAGTGGGGTTAGTTACGAGAGAGTGAATCTTAGATCGGTGCTTAGAGGAATCGACTACACACACAAGATCCATTCTTTTAAGTGGAATGTCGGCAAATGCAGTGTTTAACGAAACGTTGGATAATTTTTAACGTTCGACGTTGCTTATCCGCGAAAACCGAAGTTGTACGTCCACGATACCAGACTATTTTGACCCTTGTAACTCTGATCTCGAAACCACAAATGTAATTTTTAGTAACACGAAAACGTCCAAAACAGTTTCAGTATGGAAGGTCTTTTCGGGAATGATTTACAGGAAATTTGCTGCGTAAATGTGTCACAGAATCGTAACATTTTTATATTTTAAGGAGGCCCAGGTCTTGCAACTTTGTCATTTTACACACAAAATATTTATTGCATTCCCTCTTTTGAAGCTGCGAGCTACGCTGTAAAGTTGGGTGGAATTTATTGGCCCTAAGAAGAGGAGTGAAGGTCTAAACGGTTAGGTTGTCTATAGCAGTGGTATTCAACCTTTTGTGTTCGCGTACCCACCAGATATAATTTCTCTTCAACTTTGTACCCCCAAAATTGTTGGTGTATAATTCAAGTTATACATAGTATATAATCTACATCTAAAATAAATTAAATAAATTACATTACTGATTATTCAGTGTTTATCATAAAACAATATATATTTTTTAAATTTCACATACACCCTAATATGTCTTCATATACCCCAGGTTGAATACCACTGCTTTAGACTAGTGCAGAGGTTCCCAAAGTGTGAAGCGCGCACCCCTGGGGGGGGGGGGAGAAGTTCGGTGTATTAAGTGGTGATTTTCGAGGTTTTATTCAGTCTCTAAACAACGCTGCTTTAACGTTGCTGTTTCACCCCATCTCCGCAACACAGTGCTGCCATGTGGTCTTCTTAAATATGAGACCTAATATTTAATATCCATTACTCGTATATTATATTAGAGACTTACAAAATATTATTTTGAATTAGCTTCCCGTCATTTTGCTTCGTATTTGTTACTGTACTCGGTTGTCTTGAACAGTGGTATTCAACGTTTTTTGTTCGCGTACCCCCAGATATAATTTCTCTTCAACTTTGTACCCCCAGAGTTGTTGGTGTATAATTCAAGTTATACATAGTATATAATCTACATCTAAAATAAATTAAATAAATTACATTACTGATTATTCAGTGTTTATCATAAAATAATATATAATTTTTTAAATTTCACGTACCCCCTAAGATGTCTTAGCGTATCCTCGGAGGTACGCGTACCCCAGGTTGAATACCACTGGTCCATAGTTCATGTGGGTACAAGGACGTCATCATGCATGAGTCGCGGTTCAACGCATAGAATGCCTACTGAAGGTTTTCGTAATTCTCCTGAATTTGCCGAGATAAATGTCTACAGCCCCTAAATAAGGCATCGTCGTCTTCGAAATTGTTACCAGTTCAGTCGTGACCATATTCGAATCTGATTCGACCTGTACAGTTGCGTTGTTACGTAATAAAAGAATCTACAGAATCTATCACGAAGTTCGGTGTATTAAGTGGTGATTTTCGAGGTTTTATTCAGTCTCTAAACAACGCTGCTTTAACGTTGCTGTTTCACCCCATCTCCGCAACACAGTGCTGCCATGTGGTCTTCTTAAATATGAGACCTAATATTTAATATCCATTACTCGTATATTATATTAGAGACTTACAAAATATTATTTTGAATTAGCTTCCCGTCATTTTGCTTCGTATTTGTTACTGTACTCGGTTGTCTTGAACAGTGGTATTCAACGTTTTTTGTTCGCGTACCCCCAGATATAATTTCTCTTCAACTTTGTACCCCCAGAGTTGTTGGTGTATAATTCAAGTTATGCATAGCATATAATCTACATCTAAAATAAATTAAATAAATTACATTACTGATTATTCAGTGTTTATCATAAAATAATATATATATTAAATTTCACGTACCCCTTAAGATGTCTTCGCGTACCCCCGGTGGTACGCGTACCCCAGGTTGAATACCACTGGTCTTGACGAAGCATTGTTTGGTTGCAGTGACATATTTATATTTTCGGGAATCGAAGAGAAGAAAAGCTTACATTGACATTTCTGTAAAAGAATTTCCCAGTAAAAATGGAATTTATTAGGGTAAATGGAAACTGTGTGATGCAGACCTGCTTAGTTTTATATCGCAAGTCAAATTTAAAATTATTTGTGCGTGTAACGTGCTAAGTGAACTTTGAAAGTAGCAAGAATGTCTTTATGAAGTTAAGAGACATACGTATTATAATGTTTAGTTACCCGTAATGTTATAATTTTATTATTAAGCTTGGGATTACCAGGCATTTACACTGTGACAAATTGTACAAGTCTGTTTATACGAGTATGGCGGATAAATTGAGCATTCTGGGAAATAATACGTCATGAATAGACTTAGCATTTACGGAGCGTTAACAGGAAGCAAGATGGCGGAGGGATACAAGATCTATCAGAAGCCTGTCGATTGTGAGCTGTAGTACACTTACGAATTAAAACTGAAGTCCTCTTGTAGCCAACACAACACAGACGTGGAGAATTGTAGTCAGTACACACTTCACAGATTGTAGCAAAAACTCGGTAGAGTTAGGTAGCAATATTATGAGATTACTTCGTTATTGAAGACACTGGACTTCAAGAACACAAGCGCGTAGTAGCACAGTTGATGAATTGAGTGTGGCGTCAACTTATGCCCTCAGAAGCGAGGGTTTAAAGGGCTTAAAAGCTTGTCGTGTGCTACCGAAGTGCCGAGAGCAAATAGTTTCGAACACGTATCCCAAAATCGCCTCTGGGCTGGGCGCTTATTAGGGACGCGTGCAGAGATGTTCTTTGAATGTTGGTATGTGCTGAGTAATTGTTTGTGTTCTCTGACCCCTTATCATGTGGATAGTTCAATGTCTTACAGCCTGGATCACAGTTTATTAACTCAAGCAGCCGAATACATTTATGAAGCATGCAACTAATAACAGTATACCCAAAGAGATCACAGTCTCGCTGGAGGACACACGTAGTCGAGTTAAATTGAAGGACCCGATACAGACATACCTCGGAGATATTGCGGGTTCGGTTCCAGACCACGAATTTTTTGGTTTCCCAGTGTATATAAAAGTTATTTCGTATTATAATGTGATATATTAAGTGTGCAATAGCATTATGTCTAAAAAAAACAATGCGAGAATTAAAAAAAAATGGGACACAAAAATGGCGCCGATAGACTTGCTCGACGCAGGGTTGCCACAAACCTTCGATTTGTAAGAAAAAACGCAATATCTGTGAAGCGAAATAAAACGAGGTTTCTACAAAGGACGTTTGTTTATTCGTTTAACGACATTTTGTAGAATGCATGGATTAATTAGCGTCGGATTAAAGACACTGAGGACGACAGAGGAAGCAGTTGTGGCCGATGCTAAATTACCATTTTAGCAGTGCCTAGATAGATTGACGAAAACAACACCATGGCTAGGACACCAGTCTCCGTGCTGTGATTGCATTTATTCTTTAGTTGCATAGTAACACAGTTTTAGACTACAGTCGAATGGGAAGGTGATAATGAATAGCGAATTGGCAGGGTTTTGAAAGGAGGAGACCCTCGCGTTGTTTCGGATACTGTTCTGGCACCCATCTGAAGAAACTCAGGAGAATTACGGAAATGGTTTGTTGGGGTCGAATTAACTATCTCCGGGTTATAAAGGATTCACACTGAGGGACAGGACACGGTCAGGTCATTTTAGACTAAATATGAAAAATTGTATTTCTCGGGGACTTTGCCCAGTCTTTGAAACTGAATTTTGTCGTCGTTACACATCGATGTAGTTATGTCGGGTGTCGACATTTCCTTCTTATTCAATCATTATTCTGTGTTTCTTCAGACTATTATTTATTTATTTAGTGTTCTGTCTGACGACAGGTCCATATTAACAGGATCCTTCCATCCTTTTCTCGGACTGGGACCTGTTCATATACGTTCTTCGCAGATGATCCAGAAGTGGTTTGCCATTGCCTTCTTCTGTGTGTGAATGGAGTAATTGTTGGGATGCCACGGAGGAAAACTCCGTGTTGCCTAGACCACGTCATTAAATTATCTACGAACGAGCCACCTTTCGGCCATTTACATGAAACAATATCCAAAAGGAAATGACTATTCACTATGGTTTTCTGAATCATTCATTTGATCTTAGACTTAGAAGCGAACAAAATCATTATCTGCCATAGTCAAGATTTCTCGTGCAGTGGATTACCACTACATCACGACATCTTTATATTCCAGACGTCCTTTATTCGAATCTTGTTTCGAAGTATCAGAATTACGCGTAACTGTACAAGTGACTCTCGTTGTACACGGCGGGGTCGCGTTCCTACGAATCACCACGTATAACAAAAATGCGTAAAACGGATAACGTATAACAATCACCATTTTGATGTTAATCCGGCGCCAAAACTATTTGATGCTAACCTTAACAACTGCGAAACATTCCCTGATAAACTGGTGGACGTTCCACGCATGTAACGGGCTTTAAAAATTTGTCGCTGACAGGAATTTTACACTTCTTATAAAACCTGGGGTCCGCAGTGGCACCCCCCCCCCCCGAGAAAATCAATATCATTGTTTAATAAAATATAAATCTTACAGATTAGTTTTAATTGTTCGCTGAGATGCTGCCTTTGCGCTGTACACATGTGTGTTTCACAGACTACTGTTAAAATAATACTTCTGCATCTGAACTGTCCGACATCGTACTCGTTCGTGTCCTGACCGATGCCGTCCTTCAGATTAAAACCAAGGCAAATTCTGTACGAAAAGCCCGCGGTAGACAATGAAATTTGAGATATTTCTTCCGGTGGTATCGCCTTCATATTCAGGGTAAAAGACTATTTGTCTGGTAGCTGAACCATGAAATAATCAAACTTCCATTGTCAAAGATAGAAGTTACGCTTCTGGCGTATAAAATGAAGCTTTCGCTGCTGCTGAAGTTTATGAGACTCGGGTTATAAGTCGATAGTCTTTCATCAACGTAGATGTTAGGCGTTACTCCTAAACGTTGTTGTAGCCACAGGCTACACGGCGTCACAATCCAGTATACAGGATTTGAGACTTACGCGGCGACTACAATCAATAACAACATCTCGGGCAATCAGCCGCGTCAACTGGTTACCTTAGTAAACTGACGTTTCGGGAACCAACTCAGGCGATCCAGTCACATCAGAACCCTGGTGATGGAGACAGTTGGTTTCCGAAACGTCGGTTTACTAAAGTAACCAGTTGACGCGGCTCGAGAAGATTTTATTAAGTATACATTTCTTTATTTTGTTTTCGATTTAGTTCTGTGTGATAGTATTTCAACACCAATTAAGTCGCAAATTGTGAAAATGGTCTTCGTGTATCCGGTTTAGTTCAGTCAATATAGTGACTACAGCCTGGAAGACCATGGTTTGTGCCCCGGCAGGGGCAGACAATTCTTTTCCTCTAGCCTCTGCGTCCAGTGCCGAAGTTGATAATTAGTAGAGTACCGCCTCGCCCCACCTCACCCCCTGATTGCCTGCGTGGCGTATAACGGGACATTAGTTCACTTTTATGTTAACCTTTGTTACTGTTAACTCGACCTCTCGTCTGTGGATGGACTGGTATTGTCTGACAGAAGTTAAGACGTCTTAAGTAAGCTGGTAAAGTTTGAAAAGAGACGTTAAAGCCTTAGTAATTGTGTATCAAATTAAATATCTCCTGCTGTTAAGTACGTAAAACAAATTGCAGTCTACATTTCATCCACAGTTGATTGTTCTGTAGGTCACATACATTTAAGGAGCCAATATTTCAGCGACGGTTTGAAGACTGTTTAGGATTTGAGGTTTTCACGGCGTGGAGTTTGAAGATGACTGTCTTCTGGCTTTCTTTGTTGCGCGGTCTAGTCTCATCGCCCTGATGATGGAGGCAGCAAGGACCTCTGAAACGTCGGTAAACTTCTACCAGACTACACGGTGCAACAACCCAGGAGACAACCATATTCAGACTTACTGCTGTGAAAACCTCAAATCTTGCATTATTGTTACATTATGTAGGGTGGTGTTGTGTGTCTCAAGTGAAGAAGTTAAGGGAATTAATCAGGATCCAGACGTTATATCATCAGTTTTAAAAAGCGCCTTGATTTTTTAGTTTTGAAGACTTTGACATTACAAATTCGCAATAATAAATTAAAAATGATGGGAGTTCATGCTGACCTTTGACAATGCTAGGTTTTTTGAAGTGATTTTGGTTTGGCACGAATGTGGATGCATTGTCATCAGTATTTGGAGCGTTTATTTATGTTAAAATTTTAAATATGTCATGATTTTGACAATTGTGTTAACACGGTCAAGGATCGTTGTTTACGTGAATCACGAAAAATATTTCTGCAGTTTTTAATATACTCTTCGTGTCTTTTCCTTAATTATGGAATGATCTAATTACTAATTAATATGTTATGGGAAAATATATACTGAAATGTGTAGGACTTTACGTTGTTTTAAAGTAAAATTGTGGTTTTTGTGTGCATTAGATACGGGGTCTCTTAAAATATGTTCAACATTAAAACACAATTTAAACTATTCATCGCTGCTGAAAGGGTTCTTGTGCTAATATTCCGTCCGTTCTTAGACATACAAAACGATTTCTGAACGTAGTATCGTTTTTAAATTTAACATACAGAAACTTGACAGGTCACGCTTCTTTAAATATAGTGTGTTCGAAAAATCTGTATACTCAGCAACTTTGGTGGGTTCTTATGGATCATTTGCTTACAGCTGTCATCTGTGACTACGAAACCAATGACGGTCATTTTGAACACCTGCGTAAGATTAATTCACCAAGTGCCAGTGCTGACATACGAGGTGCGATCGGAAAGTTTCCAGACTGCGCGTATAAAAACCCGTACACTTATCTCAGGTATTAAATTCATCCATCACCCTCGAAGTAGTTCCCCTGGGAGTGAACACAACGATCCCAGCGCCGCTGCCAAGCC